TTGAATGAGAATATTGCCGATGTTTGCTTAAACTAACCCTTTTTATACCATTCCTTTGCGTAACTCAACGATGGTGAAATATCGCGTGATATCATCATTCTTTTACTCGTAGGAAAAGAAATTACCCATAGATACATGTCTTTCTCACAGATGTGAAAGAATATTTTTTTATTGACAAAATTCACACAGTTTCTCACATTATCAAGATTTTCTAATGGCTTTGAAGAATGTTTTCCCGAAACCTTGAAAGAAGATGTTACTTCCTGGTAACTTGCAGGAAAAGGAAAAGCTAGAAGGAATATTCCGTATAAGAGCGATATCAGCAAAAGAGAATAGCGATGGGTAGACAAGTTTGTTTCCTTACTCTTCATCGTGACGGAAATATAGAAGTAAAAACGAAATATTAGAATCATTATATATTCTTAAAGTGGGATATATAATGCTCAATTGGAACGAATAAGTCATACTAAAAGCGGCCAGCGCCTTCTCACACAGTTCTTGTGCTGAACTACAAAAATTAGTAGTTAGAAGCTACAGAAAATTCTGAAATTGAATGCTGACTCAAGCTTAATGTGATCTGTTACTTAGGTATAGTAAAAAATATCCTTGCAGTTGGGAAGATTGCTAGAAAAGTCCTTCAAAAACCATAGTATTTTCTGTTTTTTTGTATACCTTTATTGAACTCCACAGAATTGAGCAGGTAAAATAGAGTACATCTTGATAATCTCACATAATTTGGAATTCACAATAGAAATAGAATAAACAAAACAGTAGACGAATGCACGTACAAAGACTTGATCATCTGCTTGATTCACTTAGAAATGTAAACTGAATAACTCGACAAAAAAGTGATGATACAGTTGTAAAGTCCATAGCACGATCCATGGACGTGACGGTTGTGACTACAGACGATAGAGGACTGTATTTTGACCACCATAGAAGAAAGTACTAATCATCTGCTTGATTCGCGTAGAAATATATACTGAATAGCTCGGCAAAAAAGTGATCTAGGTATATTTGACCATTGTCTACTAAGAGTTTAAATAGTATGTATCAGTGGTTTAGGATCAAAATACTTCCTGTATAAAAAAATGACAGCGTGTAATACGACAACCATTCAACCTAATGCTGGAGACAATCTTTTTAATAATGATGTTGATAGATATATCGATTCGCGAATTGTGAAATTTCGAAGGAAAGTGTAATAAAATAGAAAGTTTATAAAGATAAATGGCGGAGAAATTTGGGTCGCACGAACAGGTAAAAGTAGGAAAACCCATTCTAAGCAAAACGCAAAACAGATTTTGTGTATTATTAGCATAAGCGAGTATGAATGTATATGAAAAACAATGCTTTATTATCTGATTGCACAATCACTAGAAATTCTTGCTTATAGTAATTTTAATCAAAATGAATATAGACGGCTACATGCTTCGCTATACATGTTGTTGTTGTTTTCCATCACCAATCGGTATTTTTGACCAAAATTGCCATGCTTGAAAAGGGGGGGTAGCGTTCAGCAAGTATTGACTGTAATTGAATAAATGTGGGTCAGTGTATATGAGAAACAATGCTGTGTTCTATAATTGCACAATCAGCAGAATACCGGCTTATATTTCTGCTTTTGTCGTATGCAGAACAGAAGCAAGTAAATTGTTTTCGAACTTTATTGCGCACATACTAGAAAAATCAAAACAGCAAAAACTGTCTAACTGCTGGAGAAAAACTGTTCTTATACAGCAACAAGAGTGCTTACACAAGGTCCCGAAATTTATACCGTACTAGAACTAATATCTATAGTCTCCGATTTGACAATACACTCAAACACTAGAAAGAGCTCAAAGAAGACTCTAAAGTGTGAAAATCTTCTTTAACCAACTCACTTTTAATCAGCTATTAAAATTTCGGAACGTGACGAATTTGGAAGCGTGATGCCGCCGCGATATATTTTTGCAGTAATTTCTTTAAGACGTATTATTCCAACTCTTCTTTCCTTCTTCATATAATCCGGCATCTCAATGACAAATTTCTTGCCTAAACGTTTTTAGTAGATCGAACTGTTCGGAGATTTAGCGCCATATCAGTTGTTCTGTGGCGTAACTGGAAACATCTGTTTTCATTTAGGAAAGCAGAGATCAAGTAGTTGGCGAAAGTACGTTGACTCCTTCCTACACAAGGTATAGGTGGTTAAAGTTGCAAAAACGAACAAAGAGGTAATCCCGTAAGGCATTAAGCTCGTAAGACGCAGAGTCTACGATCTTTTCAAGAATTTACCAGAGGCACAGGGGCTATTTTGAACGATTTTCGACCGGCGCACATCGCCTGCCGTAATTGCTAGCCGATCTTGCGAAGTAGGTCCAGAATCTGCGTCTGGATGATGATTTGGAGTGCGGTGGACGACTCGTCGGCGATGAATCGGGATGGCTTTTATAGAAAATTTCTTTAAGCGGTTGACCTGAACTTTTTTGAGCAGGTATGTCAATCTTTTAAGAGATTGATAGGAGACGCAATGGAAAATACTGGATGATTTGATAGACTTATTAATGGTCCCTCGCTGTTTCAACGATGTTCTTGTTGTGCAGTTTTCGACGTATTAACGGCATTAGTATATCTCGTATAACTATGATAATTCGTGGAACAAATATTTCCAGGACCGTCGATATCCCACCAACAAGACCCAAAAGAGTTGTTACAATGTAACGGGTGATCCAAGATAAATTGCACTAAATTCTGATGCATTTTTCTCTCATTTTTCATTTATGAAAAAAATACCCTGAATATGAAAAGATAGAGAATTTCAAGTTCTAAAAAACTGTTGAGTTTGTTTTTCAAACAAGTCTTCCTTGTTGGCGTAAAATTTAAAAGATGAACATCTACTTAATTGTCCAACTGCATCGGTGAAAAAAGCGAAAAATCTGAAAATGTTTTTAAAATGAAGGTCCCGTTGAAATGTCAACTATCTCACGAAATTCTCCGTAAAATTTTGCATCTTTGGATGCATGTTTCAGAATTTTAGAAGAAATATTTTTGAAGAAACAGTTTTCAAGTAAAGTGCCGAAAAAAGTCCTTTTCTGATAGATCTATGCCATTGTTATTTATTAATTCGAAACAAGCTAAATGTTTTCACTGTTCAATCTAACACTTACACCGTTTTGTTTAGGATTAAATTCTACATCCGATGGCATAATAATAAATCTCTCGTAAAGCAAGCCTGATTTTTGAAAACACGGTTTTTCAAAGTGAACTCAAAGATACTGACAGATGCCAGTTCCAAGTCTTTTTCTTCTGAACACCAGCAACAGGAACATCGAAAAGATCGTTGAAGCATAGAGCACAAAATTCTCTATCTACTGATGTTAAATAATTTACTTTTAGCATCGATCTTGATGAGCAAAAGCTTACACAAATCAATAAATGCCAGCAGGAAATAGGAAATCGCAGTTGAATGATTGATTAGACGTGAATCATTTTAATTTGGTGGCGATAAGAAAAATTTGTTTCAAAAACGAAGTCATCAGTTTTGTAGAGCTTGAAATTCTCTATCTTTTGATATTCAGGGTATTTTTTTCATAAATGAAAAATGAGAGAAAAATGCATCAGAATTTAGTGCAATTTATCTTGGATCACCCGTTAGATGACGTCATTTCGTTGGTCGATAGTGTACTGACATTGCACTGGATTGCATGCAGAATAATACGAATCGAAAGAGATATTTGTATACCATTGTCCAACGGACAAATTTTTAAGTAATTCTTTGACAGTTGTTGTTCTAGCGTAATTAATCAGTAATGATGAATTTAATGCCCTGACACATGTTGGAGAAGGGGATGCCATAAGTTCTTATAACTCATCAATGTTCAACTGATTATAAAAAAAGTCTAAATTTAACTCGACTAGTGCATCAAAATTTAAACATGCCGTCAATATACCAGGCATAGGCATCATCATTTGACCGTACGTATCATAAATACCCGACTCTCCAAGACACGTTGGTGTAATGAAGCATGAACATGCATAACCACTAATATTAATATAAGAGGTAAACATCATGCGAGTACCAGTAAGAGTCGCATTTTCATCAATGATCAAATTTATGTCTACTTGTGTTTGAAGGGCGGCTGTAAAAAAATTACCTTGAATTACGACACGAGTCAATTGTATTCCCTGATCAAATGAATTAAATGTAGACGATTGAAATAATGTAATGCCAGATGATATTTCTTCATAAAATATTGCCAATGGCTGAACAATTGATGAAACATAAGGAGTAGCAGTAAAAACGCTTAATTCCTGTGGTATAGTCTGATTCGATATGTCGTACATGTTCGATAATATCTCAAAAAAGTGTCCTCCAAACACTGGAAAATCCATATTTGAAAGGGAAGGAGAAGCGGTAAATTTAATTGACCGATACTATGCGTCGGTAATAAAATCACTGCTACATACTTGATGGTACTCTGGTGCGGTCTGAATGAATTTTGAACGCGGAATCGAGTTTGTTGCACATGGACATGTCAATGTTTGCCGATATTTGGCGTATAGTTGAGTATATGAAGTCACGGATGGTGACCGAACAATGTGTGTTTTGGTGACACTGATTAATGACATGTAGAGCAAAAGTATAAATTACGACAATGGCAATAATATGATTTCATTCTCTAATAGATTGGGATCTTGCGACAAGTTAAATTTGAATAGATTGAACGTTTTGACGTATTATGTCAGCTTGGTGTAAAGTGAACTCACCCGTTGACGAACTGTCATCTTTACTGAAACTAGGTAGAATTTGGTAAAAATAGAATGAGAGGATTCAGAGATGGGCAGCTCCGACCCCTTCCGGCTCCGGTTCCGCTCCGGCTCCACCTCCACTTTTGCATACCTGGCTCCGGCTCTGCCTTCAATTTTGAATATCTGGCTCCGACTTCTCCCTAATGTTTTTAAACACAGCTCCGGCTCCGACGTCCGCTCCAACTTCAAAAGAGTATCTTTTTCCTTGGTTTTTCTTTTAATGAATTTTCTAGATTTTCAACTAACAACAAATATGGAAAAAATAGAAATGAAAAGAAATGAATAACAAATGAAAGCTATCTAATGTAGAAGATCAGAATTACACTTGAGAAATGTTAGTTTCGCTAACATTTCTTTTGTG